TAGAAAGGACACAGATAAGACGGCCATAGGAGTTCATTCAATTAACAACATTTATGAAGGCCAGGTCAAAGATAAGAAGATGAATAAGACACCGTACCCCATCTCGTAAGGTGCTTCTAATCAAGTATGTAAGATAAGACACACATACAATTATAATCCGAGGTGTATCTACTATTACACAAGCTAGCTGCTGCGTCAGGCTCTGTCCTCTCATGATGTGTATTCTTCACAACAAGCTTCTGCGGGTAGATAATACCATACACCTTTTCCACGTGAGAAAGCTGAGGCTCTGAGACCAAGTAAGTGGTTTAAGATCACCCAGTTAGTAAGGGGCTGGAGAGAGATTTTAAACTAGATCCGTCTTGGTCCAAAGTCAGCGTTCTTTGTGCACGATGAGAAGTTTCAGAAAAGCAGTTAAGAGGATATAGCAGTTAAGAGGAAGGAATAACCTACTTTTCTAGGGCAGGAATGGATCGGAGAAGGTTTGTTTTTTTTTTTCTTTACTTTTCCTTTTTTTTTTTTTTTTTTAAAGAATTTTTTTTTTCAACGTTTATTTATTTTTGGGACAGAGAGAGACATAGCATGAACGGGGGAGGGGCAGAGAGAGAGAGGGAGACACAGAATCGGAAACAGGCTCCAGGCTCCGAGCCATCAGCCCAGAGCCCGACGCGGGGCTCGAACTCACGGACCGCGAGATCGTGACCTGGCTGAAGTCGGACGCTTAACCGACTGCGCCACCCAGGCGCCCCTTTACTTTTCCTTTTTAAGGTACATCCAAATTAGTTAGCATCTAGTGCAACAATGATTTCAGGAGTGGATTCCTTAATGCCCCTTCCCATTTAGCCCATCCCCCCTCCCACAAACCCTCCAGGAACTCTCTGTTGGTTCTCCATATTTAAGAGTCTCTTTTGTCCCCCTCCCTGTCTTTATATTATTTTTGCTTTCCTTCCTTTGTGTTCATCTGTTTTGTCCCCCATATAAGTGAAGTCGTATGATATTTGTCTTTCTCTGACTAATTTCCCTTCACATAACACCCTCTAGTTCCATCCACGTAGTGGCAAAGGATCAGAGAAGGTTCTATGAAGGATCTGTGGAGATGTGGCAAGAGGGCATCCTAGACAGGAGCATGGCAGAAAAGGAAAAAAGTCAGGCCATTGTAGCAGACTCGTGGGCTGACTGAGCATGAAAGGAATAAGGAAAGGTTGAGGAAAAACAGATTAGTTGGGGCCAGATTCCCCAGGGCATCCATCAGAGGACCAGTCGAGAAGTTGAGAATTTGGGCAGCGGCTGCAGGGAATCACTCTGGGTTTCCAAGCCAGAAGTGCCCCTCCTGGATCTGCTCTGGGACCATCAGTCCGACTGAGGCAGTCGGGGTAGGGTGATGGAGGCAGGGAGAGAGCCGGGGGGCCGTCCAGCAGTCTGGGAGAGGACTCACCCCAGAGTAGGAGCAGCGAGAGTGGGGAAGGGGGCAAGGAGCCAAGCGACCAGGGGACTGGTGGGGCCAGTCACTGAGGGGGGACCAAAGGGAGACATGAGCTGTTTGTGGTTTGGGAGGCCTGAAGGATGAGGGACGCCTGAGGTCTCAGGATGCATTCAGTCGTTCAACTAATAATTACTGTCTGCTGCTCACCAAGCACGACTTCAGGCTCTGGGGAGAAAGCAAAGGACAAAACCAAACTCCTGCCCCCGCTGGTCTTCTATTCTAATGGGTAGAGATGGACAACAGACAGACAAACGTAACCTCTGTCAGTAGTTGATAAGTGATGGAGAAAAATAGTGAGGGTGCCTTGTGGTGGAGCTTCCTGGCACAGAGATGGGGGTGTGAGAGCAAAGTCAGGAGGGAATTAACAAACAAGCGGTCTGTGTCTCCAGCAAATGCCTTCCCCCTGAATATCCTGTACCTGTTTGTTCTCTATCCGTGGGATGGTCTGGGAGTCCGGGACCAATGGGTATATCTCATCATCCCCAGGTCACCATCCTCAATGGCTCAGACATCCGATCCCTCTACAACTTCTCAGGGGAACAGGTGAGGACAGCCCCCACATACAACCCAGCCTGGCCCTCTGCCAATCAAGTCCCAGGCATAAGCCAGTGAGCCCAGGCTCCCTGGAGTCTCTGACCTCCCCAGCCACAGTCCCTGCTGATCCTGTTGAGTGACCTCCTACTTCTGACCCAGTGCTGCCTCTGTGTCCACCCCCACCCCAGATGGCGTCCTACTTCGGCTATGCAGTGGCTGCCACAGACGTCAACGGGGACGGGTGAGTAGTGGGAAGAGGGCACACTACGATGCCCTTCCCAGATCCAAGACCAAAGAGCGGGGGGTAGGACAGAAAAATCCAAGGAGAGTTTTTTCTCCAGGCTTTTGCTCTGGGTTCTCCTCCTGTGCTGTCATCCCCTTGCTCAGGAGCAAGGAGAGAGCTGAGAGCTAAAAGACCACAAGATCTCAAGTCTCCTCACTTGGGTGGGCAAGAGCCTGGGATCCAGGAGGCCTAGGATGTCCTGGCACTGGGACTGGGGAGGTGGCAAGGCAGGGTATCAGGGTGTCTAGCTTTTCCCCTTCCCTCAGGCTGGACGACTTGCTGGTGGGGGCACCTCTGCTCATGGAACGGACAGCTGATGGGCGGCCTCAGGAAGTGGGCAGGGTCTACATCTACCTGCAGAACCCGGCTGGCATGGAGCCCACCCCCACCCTCACCCTCACTGGCCATGATGAGTTTGGCCGATTTGGCAGCTCCTTGACGCCCCTAGGGGACCTGGACCAGGATGGCTACAATGGTAAGCGCCAGAGGCCCCAGGAGCTGAGGAGGAGTCTGGAGCCTGAGTCAGAAGGGGTTTGGGGAGAGGGCGGCTGTCAGCTAAGATACCCAGACCCCCCAGTGACTTTTCTAGGAGGTGTGTTGACTTTAACCCCACTGTCTAGGTCTTGGGGCTTGAAGAGATTGGAAAACTGGGAATGACAGATTGGGAAAAAAAAAAAAAAAAACCAAACCTGGGTTCTGGGATCTGGCGGTAGAGATTTCTGGTTCTGGAGGCCTGGATTCTTGGATTCCTGGCCTCCAGACTAGTGTGTGTTCTGTGTCTTGCAGATGTAGCGATTGGAGCTCCCTTTGGTGGAGACACCCAGCAGGGAGTGGTGTTTATATTCCCTGGGGGCCCAGCGGGGCTAGGCTCTAAGCCTTCCCAGGTTCTGCTGCCCCTGTGGGCAGCCGGCCACACGCCAAACTTCTTTGGCTCTGCCCTTCGAGGAGGCCGAGACCTGGATGGCAACGGATACCCTGGTGAGTAGCGTCCCAGGCCCCTCTCACCTGAGAACTCTCCTGGTCCCGGACCCTTCCCCCCACTTCTGCATTTTCCTAAGCTCCTGGGTGCAGTTCTAGGATAACGCCACCAGGTGGTGCTGTCCCCTCGCCTCGGCCTCCTTTGAACAATGACACTAGAGAGGGTTAGGAAAGGAGGACCTTAATGTGGGGCTCGCTGTAAGGGGTAGTTTCTGGACTTCTTGCAGATCTGATCGTGGGGTCCTTTGGTGTGGACAAGGCTGTGGTGTACAGGTATGAATTCCAGGGGGAGAAGTGGGAACTGGGGAACGTCTCAGATGGGCTAAGGCTGGGAAAGTGTACAAAGGCCACTGGCTTCCCGGGGCTTGGGCATCAGCTTCCTGTGCCCAGGGTTCCAGAGAAGTCTTAGTTCTCTTGACCCCATATCCACTCTTGGCAGGGGTCGCCCCATCGTCTCTACCAGTGCCTCCCTCACCATCTTCCCTGCCATGTTCAACCCAGAGGAGCGTAGCTGCAGCTTGGAGGGGAACCCTGTGGCTTGGTGAGCAGGGGCCCAGGAGATTACAGAGACTGAGTCTGGAATACCTCAGTCTGGGCCTGGGAGTGGGCAGAGAAACCACGTCTGTGGTAGGGGACGAAAGGAGGTGCCCCAGTCTGGGTCTTTCTGGGGGGGGGGGGAGCCGGAGGCTAGGGTGCCCGTTCACCAGCTTTCCTCTTGGTCTTCCTCCAGCATCAACCTTAGCTTCTGCCTCAATGCTTCTGGAAAACATGTTCCTGACTCCATTGGTGAGAGAGACTGTCTGAATCTCTTAGGCCTTGGGAAAGGGGGTGGGGAGGAGGGGGAGGGGAACTTGGCACCTCCCTTCTCTCTGAATAGGTTAGGAGGGAAAGACAGATTCTCCTGAACATATGTTCCTGGCTGCAGGCTTCACAGTAGAACTCCAGTTGGACTGGCAGAAGCAGAAGGGGGGAGTACGGCGGGCACTGTTCCTGGCCTCCAGACAGGCGACCCTGACCCAGACCCTACTCATCCAGAACGGGGCACGGGAGGACTGCAGAGAGATGAAGATCTACCTCAGGGTATGGCCCAAGGGCAGAGAACAGACTGGCCTGGGGAGGGCGTCACAGAGAACTGGGGCCCCTCTTGGAAAAAAAAAAGAGAGAGAGAGAGAGAGATTAGGAGAGTCCAGTGAGAGGCTTAGGACTTTGGGGGCAAGGAAGGGGGCCCTTCTGTCAGAGGAACTGGGAAGCAGGCTGTCAGGGCCTCAGAAACAAAGCGGATGGTCAAGTTTGGGCGCCTGGATTCTTGAGGGCCCTGCATGGGCCAAGAGACATGTGAGAGGCTGAGGAGCAGGGCCACCAAGTCCCCAATGCCCCCTGACACAGCAAACCCTCTTCCCCACCCCCAGAACGAGTCAGAATTCCGAGACAAGCTCTCCCCGATTCATATCGCCCTTAACTTCTCCCTGGACCCCCAAGCCCCTGTGGACAGCCATGGCCTCCGGCCAGTCTTACATTACCAGAGCAAGAGCCGCATCGAGGACAAGGTGAGGAGATGGGGGAGGGATGAGACCCGGGAGGAGAGAGGCCTGGGCACCTGGGGGCAGTGCCCTGGAGCGGGGAGCCTTCAGCCCAGGAGGAGGTCTAAAGTCCACCTCTCAAGGCTAACCTGCTCCCCAGGCTCAGATCTTGCTGGACTGTGGAGAAGACAATATCTGTGTGCCAGACCTACAGCTGGAAGTGTTTGGGTAAGTGAAGGCCAACAGCAAGCTGGGGGATTCCAAGATGCCAAGGTCGCATAGCAGAACATGTGGCGTTTGGAAGCACTTGGCACCTGAAAAGGTAGAATAGGGACATACTAGCAAGCTGTGTGACCTTAGGAAGTCACTCAACTTCTTTGAGCTTCAGCTTCTTCATCTGTATAGTGGGAATAATAGCATCCGTTTCTCTGCCTTTTTGGAAGGACTAAATGAAATAATCTACATAAAACATCTGGCCTACTTCTGGCCATAGAGTTGGAACGCAGTAAATGGTATCTGTTATTATTATTATTTTATTATTGTTAAGGTTCATTGTCCTGATTTGGGGATTAACTTCCCAGTGTCCTTTACCCGGTGTTCCCCCTCCAGGGAGCAGAACCACGTGTACCTGGGTGACAAGAACTCCCTGAACCTAACTTTCCACGCCCAGAACGTGGGTGAGGGCGGCGCCTATGAGGCCGAGCTTCGGGTCACAGCCCCTCCAGAGGCTGAGTACTCAGGACTCGTCAGAAACCCAGGGGTGAGAGGGGATTCTGAGGCAGGGTTTGGGAGGAGACCCCGTCAGAGGGGCACCAAAGCTTTACCTATACCCACCCCACCTCCAGAACTTCTCCAGCCTGAGCTGTGACTACTTTGCCGTGAACCAGAGCCGCCTGCTGGTGTGTGACCTGGGAAACCCCATGAAGGCAGGAGCCAGTGTAAGTCTGGCACAGGAGTGAGGATCTGAGAAGACAGTGACCAGCCTTTCCAGAGCACAGCTGTGGAATAGGGAAGGGGGCTGGAACTGGGGTGAGGCAAATGCCCAGTCTGACAGGCTCCTTTGTCCTCCCTCCTTGTCCCGCAGATCTGGGGGGGGGCTGCGGTTCACAGTCCCTCATCTCCGGGACACAAAGAAAACCATCCAGTTTGACTTCCAGATTCTCAGGTAGGGAACCAGTGGGGCCGGTGGGGCGGGGCCTGGTGCAGGGGGCGGGGCCTGGTGCAGGGGGCATTCTCCTTAGCTGGGCTCCAGCACTGCCTCAGTCTCTCCTCCATCCCACAGCAAGAATCTCAACAACTCCCAAAGCGAAGTGGTTTCCTTCAGGCTCTCAGTGGAGGCTCAGGCCCAGGTCTCCCTTAACGGGTAAATTCCCCGGGGCAAAAATGGGGCCTTTCTGGGAGGAGAGATACTTCTAGGAAAGGGTGCATATGGGATCCCTTCCACTGTCCTCTAAACCACGCTCCCCTTTAGTGTCTCCAAACCCGAGGCAGTGCTATTCCCAGTGAGCGACTGGCATCCCCGAGACCAGCCTCAGGAGGAGGGAGATGTGGGTCCTGCTGTCCACCACGTCTATGAGGTGAGGGACGGTCAAGGCCGGGGCGGGGAGGCACTGGGCTGGTTCCCGGCAGGCTGCTGGGAGTGGAGGGGTGGGACCAGAATGAATGACAGGGAAAGGGGAGCCACTCACTGTAAGTGACTGATGGCTGGGACTAGAGAGAGGGACTGAAAAGAAGAGAGGAGGGAGGGGGAGGGATAGGCGAAGGCCTGGACAGGGTCCTTGTGAGGGAAAGCCAGAGGAGAGACCAGCCAGTTAAGTGACTTGGAAGGGAAGGATGGATCCATCTCCAAGAGTGTTGGCTGGAGAGGATTTTGTCTCTACCTGTTGATCTCCTCCTTCACTTCCGAGGTGGGAGACATGCAGGAGGGGAAGGCGGGCCGTAGTGACCCAGGGTCTCAATAGGGCAGAAACCTTCCCTTCCTTCTCAGGATGATTGTGTTCTCCTCTCCTCAGCTCATCAACTTGGGCCCCAGCTCCATTAGCCGGGGTGTGCTGGAACTCAGCTGTCCCCAGGCTCTGGAAGGTCAGCAACTTCTCTACATGACCAGGGTTACAGGACTTGGTAACTGCACCACCAGTCACCCCCCCAACTCACAGGGCCTGGAGGTGAGAGGCCTGGAGACTGGCATGGGGAGAGGGACCAAGGCTGAGGGGGGTTGAAGAAGGTCCCTGGAGGCCTGGAAGAACCAGGATGTGCCTGAAGCTTAGGACTGAGGTCACTGAACAAGGGGCAGAAGGACCACAGACACCTCAAGGCTGTGGGAGGGAAAAAGACCATTTTATACACAGTCTAGAATAGCCTTCCCTTCCTTCCGGCCCTGGCATACCTCTAGGGCCCATCTGTCCCACCTTCTCTGGGAAGGCCCCTTCAGACCTGTTTCCCTGGGCCCTAATGCCTGGTTTAAAGTTTGTTTACCCATTGGCAACATTTAATTAAATGAGTGTCTACACTGAACACTGTTATAGGCTCAGGAAATATCTCACCGAACAAAACTAACAAGGCCCCCACTCTCATGGAGCTTACATTTTAGTAGAAGGTAATAGACAATTAAAATTAAATAAATAAATAAATAAATAAATAAATAAATAAATAAATGAAATGAAATGAAAAAGGGAGGGGCGCCTGGGTGGCTCAGTCAGTTGAGCACCCGACTTCAGCTCAGGCCATGATATCAGGGTTCATGAGTTCAAGCCTCGCATCGGGCTCTCTATGCCCCCCACCCCCGTCTCTCTGCCCCTCCACAGCTAACACTCTCTCTCTCTCAAAAATGAGTAAACATTTTAAAAAATTACATTTACATTATATTACATCACATTAAAAAGGGAAAGATTAACAGGTACTGAAAAGTAATCGACATGCAATGTTAACATGGAAAGGCCAGGGGACCAGAGTCTTTTAATGAAGTCATCAGGGAAAATCTCTTGAGAAGGTAACAGTTGAACTGAGGCCTCAAAGACAAGGATGAACCTGCTTGTGAAGACTCAGGAAAGAGCATTCCAAGCAGAGAACAGCCAGTTCAAAGGCCCTGAGGCAGGGATGGGAACCTAACTATTTACTTACACATCTTGTAAACTCCAAGGACCAAGTTTAGTTCGTGTCTGTATTTCAACACCGAGCTTGCTGCCTTGCCATAGGAGATGGTCACTGGATGGATGAAAAGAACAGGTTGAAAAAAAACATAGGTGGAAGCTGCTCTGGAACCCAGGTGCTGGCTGACTTCAACACTGTGATGGGGCAAGAGTGGTCCCTAATGGTCTCTTTCTTCTTCCAGTTGGATCCTGAGGGTTCCCAGCACCACCTGCTACAGAGACGGGAAGCTCCAGGCCGGAGCCCTTCCTCCTCAGGACCTCAGATCTTGGTAAGTCACACTGGGACTTGGGTTCTCAGAGCCACCAGAAGGGCAGAACTCCACATTCAAGCCTCTCCTTTCTTCCCAGAAATGCCCCGAGGCAGAGTGTTTTAGGCTGCGTTGTGAGCTCGGGCCACTGCACCGGCAAGAGAGCCGAAGTCTGCAACTGCATTTTCGAGTGTGGGCCAAGACCTTCCTGCAAGTGAGGGAGCCTTACCTCAGCCCTGACCCTTGACCTTCAGAGCCTCCTGATCTTCCCCTCCCTTTCCCTAGTGCTTAAGCCAACTCCTTTGGTGAATGGGATCCAGGCACTCCCACTCCCATCCCTCACCCTCCTTTAGACTGGGCTGTGTGTCCTTTGTGCCACCTGGTGGCCACACTGGGAGTGACAGCTTCCCTCTCCGGGCCCGTTCAGAGGAGGGAGAACTGGAGAGAGACCAGCATGCAGAGAATGATAAAAACAACAGAGATGGAAGATGAATCCATAGTGGAGAGGCAAGCAGATGTAGGAATAGTAAAGAGCAGTTATTTACTGAGCAAACGCTGTGGGCCAGGCAGTGTCCTGGCTGTTTAACCCCATCAATGATTCAAAAAACTTTAAAATATATATGTATTTTTTTTAATGTTTATTTATTTTTGAGAGTGAGACAGAGAAAGAGACAGAGCATGAGCGGGGGAGGAGCAGAGAGAGAGGGAGACACAGCATCCAAAACAGGCTCCAAGCTCTGAGCTGTCAGCACAGAGCCCAAAGCAGGGCTCAAACCCACAAACCGTGAGATCATGACCTGAGCCAAAGCCAGACCCTCAACCGACTGAGCCACCCAGGCGCCCCTCAAAAAACCTTTTTATTGAACATGCCATCATCTAATTATACATTATTTAGTTACACCTATTTAATTACACGTCTGTTATCTCATATAAGGAATACAGATATTCAGGAGAGAATGGGTCCAAAATAGGAAAGATCACAACCTGAGCCAGATCATGGGGAAGCCCCTGTGTCCTCTAGATCCTAAGGGGGGCTTCCCCGAACACCTTGTCCCCACCCACAGCGGGAGCACCAGCCGTTCAGCCTGCAGTGTGAAGCCGTGTATGAAGCCCTGAAGATGCCTTACCGAATCCTGCCTCAGCAGCTTCCCCGAAAGGAACTTCAGGTGAACCTGGGCCAGAGGTCTGGGCCAAGGACACCAGGGCTTGGAGTACTGGGCCTGGCACTAGAACAGGGACATAGGTGGGGGCCGGCCTCGTTATTGTAAAAGATGTTTATTGAGCGTTACTAGGTGCCAGAGCCTGGGCTGGATCCTGGAGATACAACGATTAGCAAGATGGACAGAGTATCTTCACTCCTGGAGGTCACGGTCGAGTGGGCAATGAGAACACAGTGTGACAAGTGCCAGGATATTTAAGGGAACACATCACGGGGACAGTGAAACGCAGTCTTGCAGGGTCAGGAAAGGCTTCCTGGAGGAAGTGATGTTTCAGCCGAGACCTGAAGAATAAACAGGAACTACCAAGCTAATTAGTCAGGAAAGGTATATTCTCTGGGGAGGGGGAGTCAGCAGGGGTGAAGACCCAAAAGTAAGAGACAATGACGCACCTTTGAGGAATTTATAACGTCCAGAATTGTGTTAGTCCAACATGGGAGGTGAGAGGTGGGTCTTGGTCTGATGGCAAGTGGCAGCCAAGCGTAGGGTGGGGAGAACTAAGGACTTTTCAGTGACCTCTCCTGACTTGCTCCCTAGGTGGCCACGGCGGTGCAGTGGACCAAGGCAGAAGGCAGCCACGGTGTCCCACTGTGGATCATTATCCTAGCCATCCTCATTGGCCTCCTGCTCCTAGGTCTGCTCATCTACATCCTCTACAAGGTCAGCCACATCCTACCCGTGACTTGGCCGCCCTCTCGTCAAGTTCTGCCCTTAACCCAACGTAGTCCCAAGCATCTATCTCCAGACCGGTTCTCCAGCCACGTGCCCCTACCTCTGCCCTGGCCACAGGCATGCCATCCTGAGCCTGCCTGTCGGATCCTTCCCTTCTAAACCCCTAGCTCAGAAAGAGTCTCTTGACCCAAGCTGCTAAGCTTGCCTAGACTTAAAAAAGCAATGTTACTCCCAAGTGGCAAATATGTGGCATTTGTGGTATCACTTCCTACAAAAATTAATGGCAGCCATCACCACTTGACTATACCCTAGAAGTGGCCTCAGAATCCTTCTCAAGAGGCAGCTACTATTAAGCAGTCAGACTTGGATCTTGAATTCAAAACTATTCGCCAACCCTGGCCTAACTGGGGGCAATTTCACAGCACAGCACTGATGAACGAACCCCGTATACCAAAAGCACTCCCAGCATTAGCCCTCCTGGCCCATTGGACCTACTGGAGAGATAGTCTTTTTTTTTTTTCTTAATGTTTACTTATTTATTTATTTTGAGAAAGAGAGAGGGAGAGTGTGCACACGTGCAGGGGGGAGGGGCAGAGAGAAGAGAGAGAATCCCAAGCCGTACACACTGTCAGCATGGAACCCAGTGCGGGGCTCGAACTCACAAACTGTGAGATCATGACCTGAGCCAAAATCAAGAGTCGGACACTTGGGGTACCTGGGTGGCTCGGTCGTTAAGCATCCAACTTCGGCTCACGTCGTGATCTCACAGTTCATGAGTTCCAGTCCCACATCGGGTGAGCTCAAGCCCCCGTGAGCCCTGCTTCTCTCTTTCTTTGCCCCTTGCTCACTTGTGACCTCTCTCTCTCTCTCTCAAACTAAAAAAAAAAAAGTTGGACACTTAACTGACTGAGCCACCCAGGCACCCCTGGAGAGGGAGTCTTAACAGCCAAGAATTTAGGCCACTTTCCCAAGATGGGGAGATTAGAAGATTAGAATGATCTTCATTTCTGCTTAGGATAAGATCTGGGGAGAAATGGAAGCCAGAATATCTAAACTCTCCCTTCTTCCCCCCTCTCATTAGCTCGGATTCTTCAAACGCTCCCTCCCATACGGCACTGCCATGGAAAAAGCTCAACTCAAGCCACCAGCCACCTCTGATGCCTGACTCCTCCCAGTCCCAGACTCCCAAGCCTCAAGGCCCAGTCCCCCCACCCTCAGTCTACTGACAGGGAGGGGGCTGGGCGCTTCCTGAAGGTGCTGAGGGCCAGGGAGAAGCTCCTCTCCCCAGCCCAGAGACATACTTGAAGGGCCAGAGCCGGGAGGTGAGGAGCTGGGGATCCCCTCCCCCCATGCACTGTGAAGGACCCTCGTTTACACATGCCCTCCTCATGGAGAGGGGAACTCAGATCCAGGGATAGAGGCCCCAGCCTCCCTGCAGCCTTTGCATTTTGGAGAGAGTTTCCTGAAAACAGCTTGGAACCAGACCTGGGGAATCCAGTCCCAGTTATCTGGGCCAGATGTGCCACCAGGACTTACTGTCCAGCTCCAGCCTGCAAAGATCTATTCTCAGCCTTGCCAGAGATCCACAGGAAGCCCCCCAGCTAAGAACCTGGAACCTGGGGAGTGAGACCTGGAAGCTCTGGACAGCCCCCACCCTGGTGGGCCGACAAGGAAACACTAACCGTGGATGGTGCCCCAGGCCCAGCTCAGGACAGATCCCAAACGAGGATCGATGCTGGCTCAGAACCAGCTCCAAGGGGACTCAGAACTTTAATGGGGCCAGATCGAACCTGGGGCCTGGGGTTGATCTGGGACTCAGACTCAGACATTGGTAACCTAACCAAGCCGATCCAGGACTACATTTGAGCCTGTTCCAGACCTGGGCCTGGAGGCCCAATCCACCTCTGACTCAGAAGAAGTCAGGAATTGCCCAGGACCCTGAAGGGGCCATGATGGCAACAGATCTGGAACCTCAGCCTGGCCAGACGCAGGCCCTCCCAGTCCCCCAGAAAAAGGGGAGCCCACTGTCCTGGGCCTGCAGGATTTGGGTTCTGCCCACCAGCTGCACTGACGCTGCCCCTTCTCTCCCTGCCCAACCCCCCCTCACCTCAGCTCCGGACATCCGGGACTTATTTAAACTCTGTTGCAAGTGCAATAAACCCGGCCCGGTGCCCCCACTGACCAGAGCCGGAATTTGTGTCCTACCCCACTCTTTCCAAGCCCATCCTGGAACCAGATGGCTCAGTGGATAGGAAATGTCTGTTTTTCACAGCTTCTTTCCACTGGGAGCCAGGAGTATGACCCCCAGGAACTATAGAACTACTTTTTGGGTTCCCTTCTCTCAGGTGAAAGAGATGATGTGATGGTGGAAGGGGTGAATGGAGGACTTGACTCCTCTGCCCGTCACCCAGCTCCACCAGGTCTGGTTCCCAGCGCCTCCCGGAGAGAAGGGAAAGAATTCCTTCTTTTTGGGTTTGAGCATTAGGGAAGAGTGCAAAGGGGGAGGTCCAAGTTGAAGGTGGAGGACGATGGTCCAGAATGCTCACCTGGGCTTCCCTAAATCACAATAACGAGATGGCTTGAGAGAAAAAGCCACAAAACTAAATCAGAAGAAAGCCAGTTAGGTTTTTATTCTGTTTTGTTTTGCTATCACTGCTTATTGTATACTGGTAGGTAGAGAGGGTGTTAAATAGTTTGCATACCTTATCTCATTTCGTTTCTCTATCCACAATCCTGTGAAGTGGGTACAATTAACCCCATTTACATGAGGGAAAATTGAGGTCCAGAGAGGTTATATAACTTTCCCAAGGTCACCCAGTGAGGGCGAGAGCATAGTCGAATTTAGCCTTGTCTGACTGTGAAAGCCCTCATTCTTAACCAACATGGTTTAGGTCTTTGAAGAGAAATCAAAGTAAGGGAGCCCCTCGGGGTCCTCTGTCTTTTCAAGGCCTGTCCTAATGTGCCACAAGAGGAAGGAGAGGGGTGAAGAAATTCTAATGGATTGTCGGAGGCAGATGTCCATGTCATGCTAGACCAGACTTCAGCCACCAGAGGGCAGCATAGCCACAAATTTGTGGGAATTTGGGGGGTGGAGAGTGCGTGAAGTCCATCTCGTTCTCTTTCCCCATCGCCGGGGCTATTCTTTTTAACTTAGGCTCCTGCCTAGCAGTACCTACGTCACCTTAAAAATATCTCTCCTGGGAGACCAAGGCTGCTGCACACTCCAATCCGTGACTTCTTGATAATTCTGTACCCTAGAACTTCTTCCCAGAACCCATAAATGAAGAGGGACTGATAAGGAGGAAGAGACCTAGTGAGGCCAAGAGCTACCCAGTATTTCCAAGGATTGCAGCTGAAGCATAACAAGACACTGGGAATTCTCAAGGAAGGAAACCTCATACTCCCCTTCTTGGCGGAGGGCTGGGATTGGCATCCTCCAAATTCCAGGGGGCAGATCTGAGATTTCTTACACCATCAGCAGGAGGAAACGAGGAGGGGAAGTGCACTGTGACCACTCAGCTGGGTCATGGGTGTGTCTGTGTAGTGCCTGTACCTTTGAGTCTCAGAGAGTGACAAGGTCTCTCGTGAGGGTGCACAACATAAGGAAGGAATTCCTTGGGCTCAGAAATGCCGCAGTTGTAATCTAGCACCAGGCTTTCTGTCCCTGAACTGTAATTCTCAGGCTCTGGTCTGTTTCCCTTCCAAAGCTCCCAGCCCTTCCAGAGAATGTCTGCCTCTCATCCTGAGACTTGAGTGATCCAGAGGGACATGAGGGTAGGGGGCTAGGAGGCCTGAGCCCTATCCTTATCTGTTTGTGTGTCGATGGAAAGGAGGCCCTGGAAAAGGAACAGCAGCTGGGGGTACAGGGAGGGGGAGGGGACTCAGGAGAGGCAGCTGGCAGGCGGGAAGCTGATCTGGGGGTCTCAAGTTTCTTGACATCAATTAGAGCAACCGGCCTGGGCTCATTAGTAGCCCGGGGTGCAGGGCTCATCAATAATGAATTCACCCCACACACTGCCCCCACCCCCAGCTGCCTGCAAGGTCACCCCGCCCTCCAGCCAGCTGCCTCACCTTGGTAAGCTAAGCAACCCCTCTTCTGAGAGGTCTCTTCTGTGACCTCCCTAACTCAGAGTCCCTGGAGACAGCGTGGGATGGTGGACAAATCAGAGGGCAAAGGGGTCTGTATCACCAATCAACCACACCTGATGCTGACTCTGTTTTTTTCTGAGCTCACCAAGGAGGAGAAAGAATGGGAAGAGAAAAGGAAAGGTGTGAGGGGTGGGGTGGGGGGAGGCTAGGTAACAGGGCCTGGGGAGAAGCAGCCTTTGTGACACTAGAGTTGAACAACATGGTGGCAGGTTGGAGCTGGAGTAACAAGACCTCCTCTGATTGGCTCAGAGACCCTACATTCTCCCCCAAGGCCACAGTTGGGCAGCAAGGCCACCGTCCCCTGAAATCTCTGGGCCTCTGGATCAGAACAAGACCAAGGCATTGGAATCCCCAGCATTCTCTTGCCCTTGAGCTGGAACATCTTTCTGTCAAACCAGATCAGTGGGGTAAAGGCAAGAGACTGCTGAAGCTCAGAATCAGGAATCTGAAGTTCTTGTACCTTAATTAGCCATCTAGTCCCAACTTCCCTGCTGAACTCAGGAATGCCAGTCCCCAGTCCCCTTCCCTGACTGTTCCAAGACTCCAGTCTCAACACCCTTCTACCAACCTCTTCCTCCCTGCCTCCACCCTCCTTATATCCCAAGCGTTCTACTTCCCAGTTACACCTCCTTTCCCTCTGGCGCGGGGGGCTGGCCTGAAGCTGGCCGTGTGGCATTCTGGGAAGTCCTCCTGCCGCCCTCCCTCTAGGGGCAGGTACAGACAGGTCCAGGCTGTGGCAGCTGCATCTTCTCCAGACACTTCACAGACTCCCAGACTCCAGCCTCATGCTGGGGTCCCAGTTGCCCACCTCTAATCGAGTCCCCTGTTGGTCCTTAAAATACATCCAGTGTCCTGTACCCCCCCCCCCGACACTCCCCAGCCCATACATTCGTCCCTATTCTCCATCCTCCCCTCCACCTCACCACACACACTAGTCCTCTACAATCCACACTCACCTTGGTGAATGCCCTGGGTTCAGACCCTGATGCCTGATGGGTGCTCCCATCCCCACCCCAATTCAAGTCCTCTCTACAGGGTTGAGTCTCAATTCTGGATCCTCTATCATCTTCTGATTGCCCTAATAAATCATCTCGGTGGCAAGCTTCTTTTTCCACCTCTTTGCATTGATTGCAACTCTCTTCATGCAGACCTTCCCTGAGGACCTAGGCATTTGAACCCCAGCCAGAGATCAACCTGGGACCCATCTTCAGCCCCACATTTCATCCCTGAAACCCAGCCCCCAGGCATCCTGCTCCAAAGTCAAAGAAACAAAGGACCTTAACATTCTCTGCACTCCCCCCACCCCGACCCTGCCCAGCCTGTCACTCCGGAGAGGACCCAGGTGTCACACCCATCCCAGGCTCCATCCCTCCCCAGAGGACTGAGGCATCCCCCACCCTATATCAGCCCACGACCAGACTTCCTGCCCTCAGACTCAGCCCTTCCCAGGAACCCAGGCATCTTAGTTCCCAGCTTCCTCCGTCACCTCACACCGTCTTGTAGATGTCTTGTTCCCCCGGCCCTGGCTGCAGCGACACGGTAAATCCAGGAGACCCAGGGGCAGCCAGTAGGAGAGGAAGGGGCGAGGAACCGTCAAGACGCCCCCTCATGGAGCCCAGGGTGCCCGGGTTCCCCCTCCTCCCGTCTTCACCTGCTGCGGGCTCCGCCCCCGCTCCGCCTGGGCCGGCCTCTGCTCCTCCCCCGACTCCTCCCCCTGTACCCCCAGCCCGGCCAGAACGGCCCCCGGGACAGAGCGACGCGGAACCCCGGGCGCCTGGGTCCCCAGCATGATCCTCGGTGAGTGGGCTCTGCGGCTCTGGGCTCCGGGCTCCTGGGTCCCTCTCAGTAGGTCACCCCCCCAACCTCCCGGCACCGCGGTGACTGCGGCCGCCCGTCAGCGACCGGCTCCCCCTCCCCCTTCATCTGGCTCCACATCTGGGGGTCCCCTCTTCCCCTCTTCCCCACGCTGCCGTCTCCCCGGGTAATTTAGGGAGTGGTGAAGGAGAGAGCAGAGCCGAGTGAGACCCCCGCCCCATAATGAGGATATTGCGTATTCATGAGGCTCATGAATATTATATGACGGTCTACGAGAGGCTGGGGGAGAGGGCTGGTCCTGGCCTAGTGGAGTTGAGGGAAAGGTTCTAACCCGTCCCCGCACACACTCTCCCTCCCCCACCCTTAGCTCAGACACTCCGACATCCTTCTGGGCCCAGGATAAGAGGGAAAGGAGGAAGTGGGGGGCGGGCGGGGAGAAGATGGTGGGTGTAGCTTCGAGGTGTGTGTGGTGGGAGGTGGGAACCTGAGGGCTGGAGATAAGGGGGTTGGGTAGAAGCAGGGGTGGGAAACTGTCCTTCCCGGGGCCCCTGCGGCTCGGATCCTGTCTCCGCAGCCATCCTGCCCCAACACGCCGGGACCTGCCCCGCTCTCTCCTTGCTCTGGCTGCCTGGGCCCTTCCTTCCCAGCTTCCTTCTTCTTCCTTCTTCCCCCACCCCCACCCCTGCCTTGGGCCAGGGGCGCCAGGAGACAAGGGGCAATGGAGAGAGTAAGGATGGGGGAGGGGAGCCCCCGCGGGACTCTGACAACCCTTCAGCCACAGCCACCCCATCCTCATGACCTACATCGCCAGGGAGCCCCTGGGTGGGGGAGGAGAGGGACTAGCTGTGCGTCTGGACTCCTCCTCAGCTCCAGGGGCTCCAGGCCCCTGCCTCCACAATAGTAGGCTGGCCTGCTGTGTCCTCTGACCTCTGACCTCTGCCCTGGTTGGGCCGGTTCCTGGGTCCTGTTTATGATGGGAGATGCCCCCCCACAACCGGGCCCAGACACCTGTGGTCTCCCTGCCTCCCAATGGAGGGCTTGCCCGGCCTTTGCTGGGTCCCTCTGCAGTTTGCTCTTTGGCTTCCCTTCTTTCGTCTGATCCCTGTTAACTTCCCACTAGTGGTCTTTCTCCCCTTCTGCCCTCCTTCCTCTCTCTCTTTCTCTCCTCCTCCTGTACCTCCTCACTCCTTCACCATGTTACGTCTGCCCGCTCCACCTAACACTCCACTATACCTATTCAGTGAATGAGGGAACAGAGGCGTGAATGACTGGTGCCTGCCTCCTTCCCATGAGTATCTCCAGCAAAGAAGAGACTCCCCACCCAACTATGAAGACTATCCCCAGCCTAAAGTGACCCTCACCATCACATCTGGGACTCAGGTCCCCAAAGCACAGGCCCCACATTCTTCCAATGTGTGCAATCCCTGCATGTTGGCCCCACCCTGGACGCAGGCTCCACCCTGGGCACGGGCCCCAGAGGGAGCATCGTGCTTTTCCGGAATAAACCAGTGTGAGCCACACTTGCCCTGGTCAGTGGGCTCTAAAGACGACCTCCGAGACCTGCTCAAGCCTGACCAAGACCCCACCACAGGAAAAATGCCTGGGTCTGCCAACTGGACCCCCACCACATCTGCCCGATGTGGGACAGGACACTGTAGTTAACTCCCTCCTTGTGCCCACCTACAGAGGGGCGGGAAGCCTGCTGGCCCACACGCATGTTAGCCCTCTGTGAGGAAAGGAGAGAGGGAGGAAACTGCCAGCCAGGGCTCAGGCCTTGCCCACCCCCCTCCCCCCACCCACCCACCCCGGGCCATGCCATTGTAGGCTCTCAGCTTCCAAATACTGAGGCCCATTGAGTCCATGTACGTGGTGGCCCTGACCAGCAGGTGGGGCCCGGCCTACCTGCTTAAGATCTAGACTGTGGGCCCAGGTTTAAGCAGATGGTGGTTCTGGGCTCCGTTCCTTGTTCTGGGCCTTTCTTACTGTCCTCTCCAACTGGGTCCCATGGGGAGAGGGGGCATCCAAGAAGGCCCTGTCCTGTCAGGTTGGGAAGATTTCCCAGGGATCTTCCCTCTCTTCCCTTCCTGGCCACCTCCTCCCTTTAGGCCCCGCCCCCGCCTACATCCACCCTGGGGTTATTAAGGATGATGTTTTAAGTAGTTGTTCATAATCATCCCCTTGTTCCTTTAATCTTTGACTTCAAAGCCTTTCCAGCCCTCAACCTGCCTCCTGTCCAGATGAGGGAAGTCAAGGCAGAAAGGAACAGAAACATGGGATTTGGTCAAGAACCCAGGACGCAGGAATTCAAGGCTCTCCCCTCATTCCCCAGTTTCAGGCACTGCTGGGGAGGGAGAAGAGGCCAAAAGGCCTGAAGAGAAAAAGAGATGGATTAGAGATGAGATCCCGGTCCAGTCTCCAATCCAGTTCCTCCCTTGGCTCCAGAGTCTAATTCCCCCATCTTAACCCAGTGCTGATCCAGGCTTTTCACCACCTGGGGTTAGGGCCCTAATACAACTTGCAACCCTAACGCCAACCATATATCTCGTCTCACTCTCATCCTGGCCCAACCTCCAAGACCAGCACTAACCCACAGCCCTAACACCTCTCCTGGCCCCTGTTCTTACCAGACAGGACCCCTCCCTGAGCTAGCTCAAGGCAGACACTCCCCTTCTCTACTACAAGGGCTCGAGGCCCCAGACCTGACCTAAGACAGCCAAGGGGCTGAGACTCTGACCTGGCCAAAATTTCTGGGAAAGGGAGGAAGAAAAAGACCAGATTTCAGCGGGATGGAAGGAGTTGGATGTGGCTTGGTTGTGGCTCGGTGTGAGTGGGATCAAAGGGCCTAGGGCTAGGTAGGACCTAGAAAGAGACAGATGGACATCCACCCAAGGGTCTGAGAGTTCATCCCCTCTAAAGTGCATTGGGAACTGTCTTTAATAAAGCATTTGGCAATTCCCCCACAGAGCTGGGTGGGGCTGTATCTGCTGGAGGTAATTACTCTAATGAGCTTCCCTCTGGAGTGGCCTGCCCCAGCCAGGCCCCAGCTCCTCCCTGCCCTGCCTGACTTGTGTGCCATGCAAGAACACGTGCATGCATGTGTACACACACACACACACACACACGCACGCACGCACTCCAGTTCGATATCCTACCCCCCCAAACCTGCCCGAAGACCTCACCTAGTCAGATGTCAGAAGCCCTGGATTTCCTGCTTCCCCAGACCTTACTATGTACCTGCCTTTCCCTCCAATACCCCATCCCTAGTCTACCTACAAAAGTGTAGTGCTTGAAAACCCTGTCTCTGGGGCCAGACAGACAGGTTCACATCCCTCACTAGCTGTGTGACCTTGGTCAAGTAATTCCCCCTCTCAAAGCTGATTGTCCTCATTGATAAGATGAGGACTCATTCATTTAACAAACATTTATTTAGCTCCCTTTGTGGCATGCCAGCAATTTACATAGATTCAATCCTCTCAACAACTCCTTGAGGCAGTACTATTGTTCTCATTTGCCAAATGAGCTAGTTCCCCAGCTTCTGAGCAGTGGAGACAACCTCAGGGAGACGGTGTATGTCCAGTGACTGGCACGTAAAGAGCCTTCAAAAAGTGGCAACTATTATGGAGCGCCCGGGTGGCTCAGTCGGGTAAGCGTCCGACTTTGGCTCAGGTCATAATCTCGCGGTTCATGGGCTCTGTGCTGACAGCTCAGAGCCTGGAACCTGCTTCGAATTCTGTGTCTCCCCCTCTCTCCGCCCCTCCCCCGCTCACACTCTGTCTCTCTCTGTCTCTCAAAAATAAACGTTAAAAAAACAAGTGGCAACTATTAGTATTGTCAGAAAAAGGGAGAGGGGACTGAGGCTTGGGCTTACCTGAAACGAGAGAGCTCTGCTTCTGCCCACTCGGCCCGTGAGCTGCCATCTGCCCCTCTCCTCGTCTCATAGCTCAGTAGACCCAAAAATGGGGAGACACACGAATGTCCAGTTACCCACCTTGCTTCCTTGCCTCACTCCATCCTCCCTCCCCCTTCCTCCCCACCCTTTTCCCTCCTGGGTTCTTGTCCTGGAGGAGAGGAGTTGCTGGCCATAGGGCACTGAATCACTGCTGTTTGTTTTCCTCCAACCCCAGGAAGGTGCAGGGACCTTCCTCTCCTTGAACAAGATGGAAGTCTGTGCTGGGACCTCCATCCCTTCTGAGTGACACTAGAGTCCTCGGGGGTTATGTAGCAGTGAAAGAATTTGCAGCAGATCTTGATTTAGCTCCCAGCTCTGATACTTACAGGCTATGTGACATGAGCCAAAGTTTTTAACTCCTCTGAGCCTCAGTTTCCTCGCACGTCAAGTGGGAAAAATAGTATCAGCTACCCCCATAGAATCATAGCTGCCTCAGAGATTAAATGTGATAATACTCAGAACTCATTACCTGGCACATAGCGGCTCCACAATACGTATTTTCTTCTATTCCCTTTTCCAGAACTCATCTGTCTCTTCTGAGATGGGGGCCTGAGGGAATGGGGGCTTAAGAGAATCTAGAGCTGGGAAAAGGGTCAAGGAGCTGGGCTGCTCTGGGGCAGGGCAAGTGCCAGCCCCAAACCAGCTGCTAGGGGTGGGTGCTGGGTGCCGGGGACTCTGGGAGCGCTCAGGTTTCTCTCACCATTCCTGATGCTGCCCGGGGCTCGTTAAGGCTGCCCTGGTCTGGTGTGCCAGGCTTGGGGTGGAGGGGGGGTGTTGTGCAGGGGGGGAGGAGCCCTGAGGGGACAGACCAGGAAGGGGAGGTGGTCAAACTGCCCCTCAGACCATCTGTCCCTCTCTTCTCGCTCCCTTCCTTGCTCTCTGCTCTCTGTCAGTCTTTCCACCCTGGGGTCTAGCCCTGTGTCCAGCTTTTCTGCAGTCTCTTTTTTTCTCTCTCATTTCACTGTCTTCCATCTCTCCATTGTTCACTATTCTTTTCTCTCTCAGTATCTCTGTCCCTTTTCTCAATCACTTACTCCGGCTTCTGTCATTTTTTCCCCATTCTCTCTCACTCACTTTTGTCTGTCTCTTCTCTCTCTCTCTCTCTCTCTCTCTCTCTCTGCTCTCCCCCTACCCCATCTTAACTCTGAGATGGCAGAGGAGGGAATGGACACAGGGTGTACAGACCTCCAGCTGCCCAAGAGCCAAAGCCAAGCATCCTGCCCTTTCCTTCAAACCCTTAGCCCTCTAGAGCCCAAGCTTGACCTCAGGGACCCTGGCCACCCACCCTGGCAGAAGAGCCAGACCCCTCCAGACCTTTCTGGACCAGCTCCCTGCCCCCAGCTGTGCCTGAGCCCTCCCCACCCCCTCCCTCTCGCCTCCGATTCCCTAATCCCTGCTCCCCCGCCCTCCCCTCTGCCCCACTTTTCCAGGACTCTGATTGGCTGATTCTACTGACTGGACTTGGGGGGGAGGGGGCTGGCAAGGGAGGGGGCAGGGGGCAGAACCAAGGGAAGGGGACGCTGTCAGGCCCAGGCCCCTGGGGGGCCGGGGCCAGGCCACTGCCTGGGGGCAGCAGGCACCAGAAACTGAAGGTATGCAAAGGGGCAGTCTCTGTGGAGGGAGCAGGGAAGGATCCTGGGGTAGCCTCTGCCCCAGTAAGGTCAAGGGAGGACGGGGCCAAACTTGCAGCCTCCTGGCTTTGCCTTTGTTCCTGGGAACCCCTGTTGCTGGCAGGGGGTTGTTAGAGCAGGGAAGGGCAGCCAGGATTCCCTGACTGGTGGACAGCGAGGTCACAGGAGGGAGCTGGGCTGGCGGAAGCCCAGAGGGGTCCTCAGGGCCTTTGGCCTCCTCCCACTGGAGCCTGGCAAGGTTCCTCCCATGGCTCTGAGGGGAGGAGAAAAAGTTTCAGGGGAGGGTGGGTAGTGGAGTGGCTGGCCTGGACTTTCATTTCCCCTTGGGGTCAGACCCAGGCATTCCCCTTCCAGAGGCCCGGGTGGCGGTTCCTCCTGCGGTGCTGGAGCTGAACACTCTCAGGGAGACAAGGGGGTTTGGGGGGAGACAGGAAGGTTGGGAGAAGGGGCTCTGAGAATGGGCCCAGGCAGTCCACCTCCCAGGGCAAACGCCACTCACTTATCACCTACCCCCAGAGATGTCAACAATTAACTAAGAACGGCCAGGACAGATCACAGTTCTTTGGGCAGCCAGAGAGACTCAGCGGCCCTCTTCCAAATCGAGACCTCAACATTCCCCTCTGGGCAGTGGGAGGAATCACCCACCTGACCCTGTCCCCCCTGGGGTGAGACCTCGCCTTTGGGATTCCTTGGGGAAAAACAAAACCAGAAGAAGGGAGTGGCCAGAGCCGTGGGGCTCCCTGAGTCCTGCTGATCCAGCAGAGAAGGTCTGTCCTCTTCCTGGGTTTGTAAAATGCCTAAAGGTCTTGGGGGAGGGAGGCTGGAGAAGGGGGAAGTGAAAACCACCCAGAAGGGAAGGGCTGGTCTGCACTCTCCCCTGGGCCCACAGGGCACCGTGCTCCATTGCTCCGGAGCTAGCAAGCAGGGGAAGTGTGTGTGCGCATGGGGGTCACACTTCTGAGTGTGGGGGCCCCAGCCGGGGAGTGGGACAGACAGGTTTGGGTGGGGCTCCCAAGCTTCAATCTTCCTGCCCCACGTAATGTTTTCTCTGCCCTTCAGGCAGCCTGAGCCGGGCAGGGCCCCTCCCTCTGCTTCGGCAGCCCCCCATCATGCAGCCCCCACTGGACCTCAAGCAGATCCTGCCCTTCCCACTGGAGCCAGCCCCCACCCTGGGCCTCTTCGGCAACTACAACACTGTGAGTAGCAGCCTGCCTGCCCACCTTACCCTCCTGAGACCCCAGCTCCTCCCTTCACTCTGACTCACCCCTCCCTGCTTCTCCTATCTACTTCCTTATCTTTCCTTAGGACCCCATCTCCCCGGACTTCTAGTCTCTAGTCAGTTACGAGCGTTGTTGGCTATCTGGTATACTATTAGCAACAATAACAATAATAGCTCCTATTTGTTGAGCCAGACCCTGTGCTACATGTTTTATATATGAATCATCTCACTGAGTCCACCATCTAGAGAAGCAGTGAGACCCAGATGGGTGATAGTGACTGCAGGGAGGTGGGAGGGGTGACAGGTGCCGAATCCAGAAGGAAGGGATAAGCAGGGTCACAAGCCTGCCTGTTTGTAAATTCTAGCTCTCTGGAACCCACAGTTGGGTGGGGAGGATCAGTGGGGTAGGGCTTAGAGGCCTGGCAAAGTTGTCTAGATTTAATACAGTATGAAATAGGGAGCCATTATCCATTGTTAAGCAGCAAAATGACTTTGTCAGAGCAGTGTTTGAGGAAGGTGATTGGGACAGCTGGATGAAAGGGAGCAGAGGCTGGAGGAGGCTGTCCCACCAAGGTGGGCCTGAAAGGCCTGGAAGGGAGCCTGGAAGGCCACACCGGGCCAGTGGTAGTGGCAGTGTGAGTATATAGGAAGGGGGAAAGGCAAGGGGTTTGTTTCCAAGGAAATATTCCTAGGCCATGGTGACCAACTGATATTTGGGGGTAGGGGAGAAGAGAGAGGATGAGTCAAGGCCGACTCCAAGATTCAAACATCTGTGGCTAGGAGGGAGAAGTCACCTCGACAGAGGCAGGGGTTTAGAGGAAGAAGCTGGTCTGGGGTGAAGCTGTGAAGCTCACTTTAGGACATGGCGAGTTGGTGAACCAGTGGGACATTGAGCCAAAAACGTCCAGCAGGCAGTTGGAATTTGGGTCCTAGAAAGTGGGCTAGAGCTAAAGGTTCAGGGGAAGTCGGCTTCAGTCCACGCAAATAACCCACCATCAAACCATATTCAGCTGCAAACGTGTACTGAGTATCAACCATGCAGCAGGCACTGCCATAGATGTTTCTATACCTGATCTCATTTCGTCTTCACCTCAACCCAACAAAGTAGACGTTGTTATTCCTGTTTCGCTCGGGAGGGATTAGTAACTTATCTACGTTGACATAGTATGTGCCTAAGGTATGATTTGAACCCGTGGCATCTGACTCCAAATGGAGTTCTCTTTATACCACAGCTGCTTCCTCCAAACTCCTCCCAAAGAATCCAAACCAACATCTGCACTACACTCTGGAGTTTACAAAGTATCCTTCATATCTTAGTCTTTATAGCAACCCTATAGGGTAGCTATTGTTTAATCCATTTTACAGATGAGAAAATGGAGTACTGACTATAAGCAAGGCACTGTTTTAGATAAAATAGAGACGTGAGGGTAAACACAATACGGTTCAATTTTAAGAGTTTGTGGGTTTTGTTTTTTGTTTTTTTTTTAATGTTTACTTTTGAGAGAGAGAGAGAGAGAGAGAGAGCACAAGCAGAGGAGGGGCAGAGACAGAGGGGAATAGAGGATCCCAAGTGGGCTCCGTGCTCACAGCTGGAGAGCCCGATGCGGGGCTCAAATTCACGAACCTGCGAGATCATGAGCTGAGCTGAAACCAAGAATCCGATGCTTAACCGACTGAGCCCCCCGGGCACTGCTGCTGATACGGTCCAGTCTGGAAGGAGCTTCTATTCAGGGGAGAAATATAGAAATGTATGCAGCAATCTAGAACGCAAAACAGAGGCAGAGTTATAAATATTGTGACAGAGAAACCAATGACGGTTCAAGTGAACAAAAAAAATTTTTGAGCACCTACTATGTGCTGGGCACTGTACCAGGTGTCGGGGACACAGGACTCAGCCTGTGCTCCTGGGGAGCTCATGTTTAGTAGGAAAGATAACAAGTTAACAGTTACCCTGTAGGGTGAAAAGAGCTGCGTCAGAGGCATTTAGCTTGTATGGGAGTCCAAAGGGGTGTCAGGAAAGACTTGCTGAATGAGGTGGTGCCTAAGGGACCAACCAGAGCTGAGCAGGAAAAGGAGAACAGAGGAAAAAGGGATTCAGCCCGGAGCAGGTGACATAGGATTTGGGCTTTGAAGAATTATTAGTAGGATTTTAAAAGGGGCCTTAGAGAACATTCCAGACTGAAGCAAATAGCATGAATAAGAGCTAGAAAAGAGCACTTGAGGGGGTCCAATTGATTCAGTTCGACTGGAGCAGGAGGTGCTGGGAATACTTCCCCCATCTACACACCTCATTGACGCTTTGCCCTTCGGTCTCTCATCATTTCCCCCATTTTATAGATGAGGAAACACAGACCTAGAGAGGTTAAGTGACTTGCCCAAGGTCACAAAGCCAGGCAATTCGCGTGGGTAGTTCAGGGTTTCTCACTCCCCCAGGGTTCATGGCTCGACTGCCTCTAGTGAGGACTAGCTATTTAAAGCCATGAGCCCTGCTAAGCTCGGAGAGTGCGGCAGGGTGTTGAGCAGCACCAGCTCTGGCATCTGACTGGCAGGATTTGAACTGACATTCCGAGAGCACTGGCTGTGTGACCTTAGGCAAATGGCTTCACTACTCTAAACCCGAATTTTACCAGATAGTAATAGTACCGACTCACAAGGCTGTTGCGAGAATTGTATTACATAATCAGAATAGCTAGCACAAAGTGGATGTCTGGTGCTGGCGGCTATGATTATTATTATGTCATTGCTATTATTTTTATTTAAGAGAGGACCAGAGAGAGAAAGGCCAAGACTCAGCCTTTTGGAATAAGCAGAATTAGGTAGTAGGAATAGGAGGAGGCTCCAGCAAAGGATGTGGGGGAGCCACTGGAGGGGGGTAGGGATGCAGCCTGGTGCCTGTAGAGTTGGAGAAGCCAAGGGAGAGAGTGTGGCGGGCTGCATCAATAGTGTCAAATTCTGCAGGGGAGTGAGGACTGCAGAAAAGCTGCAGACAGACCTTTGGCAGTACTGTGCAGCAGTTAAGTACATGGCTTTGGAGTCAGGCTGCCCAGGTTTAAATTCAAATCCCAGTTCAGCCACTTACTAGCTTATGACCTTGGGCAAATTATTTAACCTCTCTAAACCTCAGTTCCCTCGTCTATAAAATGAAGATAATAATAGTACTTATTCTGAATAGTGGTTGTGAAGATTAAATTAGATAATCCATGTGAAGAGCTCAGTACAGAGGCTGGCACATTCCAAGGGCTCAGTCAACATTAGGTGGTGGTGGTGGTGGTGGTGGTGGTATTATTCATGGCTAATGGATTCTGGACTAATACAATACCTCCAGATCTCTCTCCTCCTGGGGCAGTTCCTACCCCTTAGACCCTTCCCTGTATTATGCTTTCCTCTGCCCTTGGACGTCTCTCATTGTCTCCCAAAGACAGCCTCTCTCTACAGTCAGTCCGCTGCTTCACTCATCTCTCTGTCCTAGACGGAATGGGAGAGGGTGAGAACCAGAGATGATAGAGCGGGAATCCTAAGACCTATTCGGAGAGGATGAGGAGGTGTCTGGGGGAGGGAGCGGCTCTGCCCTCCTGCCCCTGAGCCCCCAGTGCTGCTCCTACTTGACCGCCAGAGGGCAGCAAGTGCACGAAACATAAGCTCTTTGGGACCCTAGCTGTCCAGCAGGTGGCGGGCGAGGGGAGGAGATAGGAAGAAGAGGTTAGGGACGTTGTCCCCAGTATGAGGTCGCTTCTGCTCTGGGCGCCTCCCAGCTCCACCTTTCAGAGGAATCACTGAGAGAGCAGTGCCTGACACCTAGGTACCTGGGCTCCATTTCCCATCCCTAGTAAGGGAAGTGACATGTAAAAAGGGCACAGGGGCCGTGTGCAGAGGGAACACGAGTCTGGGGGCTCGGAAAAGGGGTTGTCAACAAGGGAGCGAGGGCCAGGGTGGAAGGGATGGAAGAAAGGAGAAATGTCCGAGCTAGAGAAATAGAGCCGTCCATTAGGGTTGGTGGGGACAAGGAACCCAGCAAGGATCCTCAGTGGAGGAAGCCGAGGTCACCTGGTCAATGCCCGATCGCCGGACCGAGCAGCCCCTCACCAGGACAAGGTCTACCACCCTGGAACGAGTATCCGGATACGGACACCCTCTCCTCCCCTCTTTTCACCCTAGCCCCCCTTCCTCCTGCTCAGGCTCCCTAGCCCCGCCCCCGTCCGCGGCCCGCCCTCGGCCCCGCCTCCGGGGCGGGCTCCGGTCCCGGCCGGCACCGCCTCCCCTTCTCGGGCCGGCCCGGCCGCACAGCCCCGAGCCACCCGGGCAACGAGCGCCGCGTCCCCGGCCTGCCCGGCCCGGCCAGGCTCGGGTGCCCCGCCCGGGTCCGCCACCCCGGGCCATGGAGTCGCGGCCCCCGGGGTCCCGCAGGGTAAGCCACCCGGCCCCTCCTCTCTCCCTGGCTCCCGCCGCTGCCGCAGCGCCCCCCCACCCTATCCCCGCCCGCCCCTGGCGGGCGGGCTACCTCTCCTTTCGCCCGGTCCTCGGGTTATTTGGCCCATCCCCCATAACTGGCGCGGTCCCTGCCAATCTCTGGATCCCAGCTGGCCCCCCCAGACTATTGCCACCATACTGGATACCCCCACCTCTGCTTCTCAGATCCTTGGAGTCCCCCAAATCTTCAGACTTCCCATCAGGTCTTACATGTACCCTCAAATTACCACGCCGCTTAGATCCTTCTTATCCCATCCCGGCATCTTTCCTTTTCCCAGCATCCCTCCCCCACCAGCTTCCACCTGCTCTTTAGACACCCCCTAGCTCACTCTCTTTCCTATTTCAATCCTTCCTGTCCCTCTGGTCTTCCCATCCCCGAGATTGCACCCTCCTTCTCTTTTCACCTTTATTTGGGGGTGGGGGGGGAGGATGGGGAAGTGGGGTGGTCAAACATGGGGCAGCGGTTTCCATCAGATAAAGGGCAATGGAAGGAAATATAATCATGGCCCCCTCTCCTGTTCCTGATCTGGTTTCCTCCCTTCCCTCCCCCTTGCCCTTCCTGATTCATTTTGCCCCAGCTTTAGGGAGCGATTCCCCTTCACGTCTGCTGTTGGAGGGCAGGTGGGAGAGGAATGTTTTGTGGCCCTTTCCAGGCAGTGTCTAGGCCAAAATCCCAGGGTAGGGGCTCTGGAGTGGGATGGGCTGTGGGAGATGTTGGCCTCCACCCCTCCCCAGAGAGCCCTCATCTAGGTCACCAGGGCCTCTTGACCTTGGCCTGGAGCGGCACTTCAGTGGCTCACGTTCCACCTGCACAGGGATTGGGCCCAGGAGCCCTCACCTTCAGCCTGGTGTCTCCTCAGTTCCTGGAGGAGAGGGTGGGAAGGACCCATGGCGCACTGGGTTGATACCCTCTTTCTCACCACTCCCCAACCCCTGGTTGGTGTTTATGGACTTAAACCTGAGGAGGAGTGTATGCAAGAGAAAAGGCTTTCACTCTGGAAGAGGGACCCAGGTGGGGCAGGGACCATTCTCCTGGGATGTATGTAGGCATGGTCAGCCCACAGGTCGTCCTCAGGGCACTGTGGGAAGCAGGCTGGGATGATGGGTGGGGCAGAGACAGAACCCTGGCCTCTGCTGTCCCCTCTCCATCCCACTCCTCTCTCCCTAGTGCTGTCATCGACTTAGGTTTCCTGGCCTAGATTGGGTTTCTGTTTGGGCTGAATTCCATTCCCCACCATATGCATATGAGGCATATGCATATGAGGCATATGAGGAAGTCCAGGGGCGAGGAGAACCCTGGGGCAGGGGGAGGGGGTGTCTCTGCCTAGGGAGGACCGACACCTGGAGACTGGGAGCTGAGAGCAGGCATCTGTCTCCCCTTTCTGATTAAAGCCTGTCTCCAACTTGGTCTGTCTTTATTTCTGCCAAACACATCATACATTCACACAGATGAACACACAGCTGAAGATTGCACAACCTGACCATTCATGGCATCGGCAAAGCCCCCGACACAGAAATGTTGATACATAAATGATGTGCACACAGCACATGACACTCCTTCACACTCCACCCATGCACAGATTGATCACAGCCTGCCCAGACACCCGCAGTCACACCCCTTCTTCCCCTGTTTGGCTTTTCTTTGAATAGGACCTGGGCTTCCAGGAGGTGAAAAGTGAGCTACTGAAAGGGGCTGCTTCCAGCCAAGGGCAGGCCAAGAGATGGACACTTGTCAGCCAGACGAGTCATCTGAACTTGGTCATGGCTCCCGCCTCTACGTCTACCAAATGAGGCAGCCCATGTCACAGGGGTGCTAAAGCCCCCTTCCAACCAGCCAGTGAGACTACTGGGGAGAGCCAGGATCTGTGGACTTTCCAGATTCCAGCCACCTTCTCCCTGCTTCACATGCCTGTCTCTCACCAGTGTCTTACTGGGAACCATGAAGACCTGAGCATAGGGGAGGGCCGCAGCTGAGGAGCTAAGGACCCCTCGGGTCCCAGAAACTATTTTTCACTTGATCCTTCCACCGGGAAGACCAGGCTTCAGTTCTAATTTCGTTCTGTTTTTATGAGAGGTCCCAGCCATCACCCAATCCTCTTCAGCCTCGGGTGCATTCCAGTCTCGCCTCTCCCAGGCTGCCTAGGGGGCCAGAAGGGAGGAGGACTGTGCAGGGAGGCAGTTTTCATGCCTCTAGGCCCCTGGCTTCATCCCTTGATAGCTGAAGGCCTCAGAGAGAAACTCCCATCCTCTCCCTTCCTCATGTGAACTCTTGGCAGGAGACTGCAAAGACATCTGCTGACCCAGGGTGGGGGCAAGACTGTTCCTAATCACGCCCAGCCCCACAGCTCTGCCCCAGAAGCCCTGTGATCAAGGGAGGAAGAGTTCAGAAGATCTCTCCACTGCCTCAGGCCAGCCCAGCTTCTTAGGTCCTGCCCCCCTCCCCAACCCCCATTATTCACTACAGCCATGTACTCTCTCCTGAGTTCTTTTACTCCCTTTAGACCTGCTGCCTTAAAGAGATCTAGGGAGTATGTTAGGGCAACCTGGGACCCAGAGATGGGAAGCTGGGAATGTCTGTCCCCTGGGACCAAACGCTTGGCTTGGTAGACATCTTGCCCCGGAGTGGGTCCAAAGAGTTCAGAGGCCTCAGCTGAAGGCCATAGGATCTAGGGTGCTTTGGGACTTCCCATCAGTGGGCCTTTGGTGGGTTGGCCGAGCTGTACATCAAAAAGGCAGAGTTGGATCTTCATGGTATGATGAACTGAGACAGCAGCCCAAGTTCAAGTACCAGTTTTGCTATTAACTGGTCGTGTGACCTTGGGCCAACCACTTCTATTCTGTCAGATGGGGGCACTGGGCCAGTTGGTCTCTCAAGGCCCTTCTAGTAGGGTGAGGATTGGGCTTGGAGGGGATCAGGGGACTGAGGCTCAGAACCCTCAGGCAAACTGAGGGATAGGGACGAGGCTCTGAGCCCTTTGGTTCAACCCAGCTGCAACCAATGTGGGGGATGATGGACATAAGCTTGTGCTGGGGTTCCTGGCTCACCCCAGCCTGCCTCCGCAGATGGACCCTGTGCAGAAGGCTGTGCTCTCCCACACTTTTGGGGGACCCTTGCTCAAGACCAAGCGGCCCATCATTTCCTGTAATGTCTGTCAGATCCGCTTCAATTCGCAGGTAAGAAGACTTGCTGCTCCAAATGGGTGGGGCAGCAGTAGCCTGGAGATCTCGGGAGAGCAGAGGGTAGAGGAGCTCGGGGCGGGGGGGGGGGGGGGGTGAGGGGCAGAGATAAAGGGGATATCGGGAAGAGCAGGGAATGGGGACACTGTAGGAGGGGCAGGGGCGGATGGAAGGCACTTGAGAGGGACAAGCGGTGGCTGTAATTTCAACGTGAAGTCGGCCAGTCCTCTCAGGTTGACCCTTCCCTCCCTTGGGGACTGAGGCATCCCTGGCTCAGAATTTCCTAGAACACAGGTGGCCATCATGTCTGGGTGCAAGAGTGGCCTCTGGCCCACTGGTCCTTGGGCACTGGGCTGAGTTAGGTCATTGACTCCCCTGCAGAGCCTGTGCCCTCCGGGGCCTCTGCTAAACTCCTCCCCTGGTCCACCCACTTCACTCTAACCTGGCTTCCTCCTCTGTCTGTCCTTTCCCGTGGGGGACTTTCCATGGAGAGAAGCCACCCAAAACGTAGAACCTAGGTGTCCCGCCTCCCAGCTGTCCTGTCTTCCTTGTGAGGCTCCCTTGGGACTTCTGTGTGGGTCTAGAGGAGACTTTGTGGGGTGCAGGTTCTGAGAGCTTTTGGAGAAAAACAGCAGAGCCTCATTCTGCTGAGTAGGGGGAAATAAAGCACGTTCTGTTTCTCTACCCAGTCCACGCGCGCGCGCGCGCACACACCAACCATGCTGCCAGGCTCCGCACACCACTGCCTCACCCCTGGGGTATCAGTTTTCTTTCCCTACCTATCCATACTTTTTATTTCTACTCTATCCCTGTCTGGGTGACCTTGTGGCTCCAGAACTGTATGTTCTAGGCAGGAGGTGCACGTGGGGGTGGGGGTGGAACCAGGACCAACCCAGCTTTAGGCCTCTCGGTTACCTCAACCCCAGGCATCCCCTCTCCCAACCCTGGCTCCACTCCCTGGTGGAGGGTGGAGGACTAGAGGGGCAGGGGGCCAATAGTAGGCAGCCCTCCACTTCCCTCCCCCACCAAGTGGCTCTGTTTTGACAGCTGTCTCTGCTGCTGTCTCTATCTCCAGAGCTGGGCTTGGGGCCAGGGTCCTCCAGGGTGTCCACAGAGGCTTCAGGAAAAATGAGAACCAGGGGGGAGTAGTCAGGGTAGGGCCCAGGCCTCAGGGCTCTTGGGACTCTTAGCCTGAGTGTAGAAGCAGTGCAGCCTGGATCCAGAGGCCGGGAGACACGACACACGCATAGAAGGCCAGGGGGCCAAGAGACTGCTAGCTGGCTGGATTGCTGGTCCCCTCCCATTTAGAATTCTATTATAGGTTGGGGTAACCCTCCCTCACCCAAAACTAGGTGAGAAGCCTGAGTCAGCAGCCAGGCCCTGGGTGTGGTGGTAGGGTGGAGTCTGGGCTAGGTGAGGATCCAGGTTCCCAGCGACTCAAGGTTGAGAAGCTAGTCTGAGCCCCAGGAAAAACCAGGGCTCCTCGGCATGGCTTTACATCCCACTGCAGCCTCCTGAGACCACCCCGAGGACCTGAAGGAACTCTGTGGGGAGCATGGTCGGATGAAAGGTGATCTCAGATTCCCTTTTTTTCTTTCATCCCTAAAGAGCCAGGCTGAGGCACACTACAAGGGTAATCGCCACGCCCGAAGAGTCAAAGGCATCGAGGCTGCCAAGACCCGAGGCAGGGAGCCTGGCGTCCGGGAACCTGGAGACCCAGCTCCCCCAGGCAGCACCCCCCCAAATGGGGATGGCGTAGCCCCCCGTCCAGGTGTGTCTGAATACCCCAACATTGTTCAACTGCTCTTGTCTCTGTTCTTTGCCCGCTTCCCAGAATTCTCTGCTTTCATCTCTCTCTTCCTCAACACCCCCCCCACCCCTACCCAAGGTGAGTCCTGGAGCCAAACACAGTGATACAAAATTTCCATCCTGTCACCCGTACTCCTGCCCCAGCTCCTCTCAACAGAGTCCCCACTGTCTGTCCTCCCCACCGCCCAGTGACTCAGAGAGGGGCTAGGGTGAGGCCACCTGGCAAACTTCCTCAAGAAAAAGGGAACCATCAAATCTAGGGAGAGGCCTCTTCATCTTGGGGAGAGGGACAGGGAGGGAATCAGGATATCTGAGGGCCTGCCCACTGGGCTTCCCCTTGGGGAGACTGAGAGCTCAGGACACTCAACACCCCGGATGATCTTGGTTGATCTTTTGACCTCTCTGGCCCAGTCTGCATCCTGGGAGTGAGACCTTAAGATTTTGGAGGTCTTTCCCAGGTTTACAAAAACCAACTCTGAGACTTTCTCCCTCATGGCTGGTGGCCATCTTCAGTCCTACTCCCAGCCAAGAAATTGGAAGGAAGGAATATCAAGACAGGAGGATATGAGCCCCCCTCATGCTGGGATTGCCACATCAGATATCAGTCATGATCAACTCCAGAAAGACTGAACATCCCCATTTCCTCCTTATCCTTGCCTGTCCTTTCGGCCCCACCCCAAGTAGAATGAGAACCAGGCATCCACATCAGCAGCTTGGGAACCAGGATCCCACTGTCAACGCGCGCACACACACACACACACACACACATACATACGTCCCTCAGGGATGCACAGATAGGGCAGGCAGGTGAGCTGAGTTCTAATTGTGCTCTGGCTGCTCTTAGCCTGGTCACTTTTTTTTTTTTTTTT